AGTAATTTACACACATCTGGCTAACTCCATAGGTAGCCTATATGCGGGTGTTCCCAAAATAAATTTGTTTAATCTTAATCTCGATGTAGTGCTAAATGCTGGATTATTCGTAAATCATACAAACAAAACCAAAACGTTGATTTATCTGTTTTCCCGTTTTGGTTTAAAAACTGAATAATGTCGGTTTTTTGGTTTTCCTTTTTTCCGAAAAACCAAAAAACGACACCGGTTCTTTTTTAAACATTAATATGTTTTGGATGCATATTGTTCTAGTATTTGTTCAGGCTGTTACATACAATTAGCCTCTGTTGCTACCTGCTGGTGGTGAGTAAATATTAAAATTAATTAAAATTGACAACCGGTCCGCGATTTTTTTTCTGTAATTTTTTTTAGAAGTTGAACTTCTTCATATTTGTCTCATATTATAGTTTACTTTCCATTCAGGAAGTATGACCAGTACTCAAGTTGTAAAAAAAAATCAGGGGGGATGGTGGATTTTATGGGGACATAATTTGTGCTGATAACCCGCCGAGGGTGGGAGACCAACCAGCATAAAGATAATTATTATACTCCTAAAACAACATGCATGTTATGGATGTTCAGATACTCCTTTCATTGCTCTTGACCAGACCAAGGCACCTCAGAATTAGAGTCGGTCCCCGGGCTGCCATGGCACCACTAACATTTAGGGTCAAATGCAGAGGACAATTAGTGCAAAAATCTTTTTTTCACTTTAATTTAAAGGGGGGGAGGGGATACAAAAATGTGGTTATAATGGAAGTCTACGGTACAAATCTTGTAGGTTAACAATCCCTCATTTATTATTCAGATGGATCAACTGATTATACTAATAATAAAGTCAAAATAGTTTTTAGAATATTGAATTATAGTGTATTTTTTCAAAAAAGCAGTTACTGGTATACGATCAAAACTGGTATTTAAAGGGTTACATTTGTATCGTAATTAATTAAATCATTATGTAAATTAAACACTTCATGAACAATTTGAGGAAAACATTTTGAAAAATATTGATCCGTCATTATTTTATTGCAGTTCAAATACAAATATGTTATGTTAACATTCCCAATGTTACTTTTTTTAACAGGGCATTAAGTGCAAATTGAAATTGTTTACAACATATGAAAATATATTAAAAGATTATACAGATAATACAAAATAGGACCAATGTTGTCTCCCCCATCTCATAGAAGTTTCCAAAGATTTTCATAATCCTGCTTTTTGGTCTCAATTTGTCTGGCTCTTGCTTTCGGATTGTTAGCTTTGAAGCCAAGTCTTGACATATACATCTGGTCTGAAGTTCTGAACTTGTTCAGTGGAGGGCCAACACACTTGATGAAAAGCAAGGCTGACATGCTTTTTACCTCTAGGGAGCTTCTAGTTGTGGTTAAAATGTTCATCTGAATAAACCCACATTCACACTCAGCTGTGGAGATGACCAAAGTGTTCACTGCTTGAAGGAGGGATTTCAGCTCTTCTGGTGCTGGTGGTATCATTTCATCAACAGTTTTGAGTCTTACCAGCTAGCTAACACGAGAGAAAAACGTATAGCTAAACTCCAAACTAAGTTGTTAATGCTGCTTATGTCCATAGATTCCACCTTTGGTGACTAAAGTAATGAGTAATGACTAAGATTACTGACTCTTGACTTACCTGAAATGTTATTTTTAGTATTTTTAAATATGAAGTCCCTCAGATCGCGTTGTCCTCCTGGTCGCTTGGCCATTGTGATGACCGTTACCTGCGCTAGTGCTGCTATGCAGCTTCTGGCATCGATCAAACAGGCGCATCACGGCGCTCTGGCGCCCTCTAGGGCACTCGCATAGTAGCCTATAGCGGCAGTGACTTGGGGAAAATGTCATTGCGTGTGTGCGTGCTCACTCGCCCACAGTATTTTACTCAAAATGCGCAAAATTAATGTTGAAATAGCAGTAATACCAGTGCCACGTTCATTGATAAAATTACATAAAGGGCTGGAAAGGGGGAATGGCAGTTTTAGAAGGGGGATGATTTTGACCATTTTTATTTCAGGGGGGATGCCATCCCCCCTCATCCCCCCTCAACTCGAGTACTGAGTATGACGCTGCGATGTCAGTACGCTTCTCCATGTTTGTGATTGATCAAATGTTGCTAACCCCGCCCCTTTTGAGTTAACGAGTTGATAACCAGCGTCGTAGGACCGTTTAGCGAGAGCGTGTTTGTTTTGGATTAGGTAAACCGGGTAACTCAAACATATCCAGGTTATGTTGAACCGGCTTCGTAGTACAGGCCTCTGGTCTCACACTTCACAAAACAGGGATCAAATTCCTGATTTATGCAGATGATTTAATCCTGTTAAGCCCGACAAAAGAAAGACTTCAACAGAGTTTAAACACAGAAACATTTTGACAATGTACTGACTGAATGCTCACAACCTGGCCATATAAACAGGCAGGCACAAAAAAACATGGCTGTCAGAAGAGGCGATCATGCCAACAGTGTGAACAGGGCCGTTTCTTCCTATAGGCGGACTATGCAGATGCATAGGGCCCCTGCGGCCACTGGGGGGCCCCCAAGCTGAACGTTCAGGTTCAGCCTCAATATATTTGGGGAGAATTCAAATTAGCCGTCTTTATTGTCCCTGGTCAACATGAGGCCCCACGCAAAGTTATATGATGAGGCCCTCTGTTTCGCGAGCGTCAACGGGGGGGGGGGGGGGGGGGCTAGTGCAGCCTCGCAGCGGCGAAACCGTGCCCGCGCCACACTAATTGCGCCGCAAGCTCATAGGTGCGCCGCATTTTCTGATCAGTTGAGGCACCCTATGCAAGATGAGGCCCCCTCCGCAAGGTGAGGCCCCACGCAGTCTGCATGATCGGCCTGTGGGGGGGACGGCCCTGCATAGCGGAGCCTTAATGTTTACCTTTTTAATATAAATTGTTGTAAGTTTCAATTGCTTGGTTTTTGTGAAATTAGCCTGTTTTCAGATTGATGCATCTCCACAGATCATCTTAAAGCAGGGGTGCACAAGTCGGGAGATTCCCAGTCGATCGCGAGATGTGTCTAAAAATAGAACAACAATATTCTGTTTTATCGTTAATGTCCTATAACATAATCTTCCTGTGCCAGAATAATGCACTTGAACGCATCAAAGCTTTCTGATTGGCGTGACCCCATGTGTCGGGGCGTGGCTGGTGGGCACTAGTTAGCTGACGTTGTCCGTGTCAACAGGAGTGACAGTCCGCACACACACAAGACCGCAATTATGGCAGAAGCATAAAAGCCCAAAATATATCATTTTCACTCCGAGTGGGAGGATAATTATTTTTTTGTTTATTCCAATTCAAAGTCCATCTGTCTCATCTGCAATGCGAGCGTGGCTTTACCGAAGAAGGGTAATTTAGAGCATTTCAAAACGGTGCACAAACGCTATGAGACGGAATTCCCTCCTAATTCTGCCCTACGCTCTTCTGTTCGTTGCGTGCATATGTAACAGAGTTAAAAATGTGAATACATAATTATAAGTTTGTGAATGTTTAATTTATAATAATTTGTGAATTTTAAGAGATGAGATTGATTAATTTAATATTTTAAGTTTTGTTTCCCGTGGGAACACCTTCCCGTTGCACGTCTTTGTTTACTTCAGGTATGTATTTTCCACCCTCCATGGACTGGCCATCTGTAGAATCTGGAAAATCACAGAACGGCCGGTCGTCAAGGGCCGGTTCGATTAGCTGACGGTCGTTTATGTTTTAAATGGCATAATTTTCTCTAGCAGCTCCCCCCCCCCCTCTCTATTTGGACTCGTAGATCTCGGCAGACTGGCAACTTTAGAGTAGCTCTTGGTTCAAAAAAGGTTGGGCACCCCTGTCTTAAAGGCTTCGGAATTCCCCCATTGTAGTGAAAAAACTGTAAAGACTAGGGCCCCCAAACAGCATCTTGCATAGGGCCCCCACAAAGCTAGAAACGGTCCTGAGTGTGAAGGAACTGCTGTGGAAACAGAGCAGCACTTCCTCACACAATGCCAAACATTTGAACCTGTACAGAAACAATTATTTCCAAAACCTAAGCATCCTCGAATATTTAAAAAAGAAAATGAAAAACTAAAGATATTACTCAAAGAAAGCTGCATTCGTTTGTCTCTGCCTGCCACAGTATGAGGGAATCGGACTGACCTGCAACACCAGGTCTCACATATTTTTAATATTTTATTTTTGTATTCATGTATTATATGAATTGAATGAATGTGTGTTCCTTGTAAAAATAAAAAGTTCTTGCTTATGTTAAAAATGTAGCAGTTTGTTCTTATGTATGTATTTGTGTATAGATGTGGCTACTACACAGAGCTTTAGCAATACTGTATGTAATGTAACTATGGTAATGCTAATAAAGTGTAATATGTCATGTGAAGCGCTTTGAGCATTTGGGATAGCGCTCTAATAACTGTAATTAATTATTATTATTATTGTTATTATTATTATTATTATAATAATAAAGCTATTGAATTGAATGAGATAAAGAGAGAGCCTGCTTCCTTATTTGAATAATGCTGCCTTCAAGTGCTTCTCCTACATTCGCCTTCTGAACTTAAGAGATCACAAATAAGATTGTTTGTGTGTATTCTAGTAACTTTCAGGTTCAAAATACAATGAAAACAAATTTGTAGTTTTAGCTTTTGATATTCTATAAATTATGGGGATATGTTCAGCTTGTGTGTTGTTTAGATTAGAAACGAAATAATTCAACTCTATGTGTGTGTGATATTTTCATGCCTTTTCCAATTCAGGCCCGACATAAATAGAAGCCTAAAACCTTTGCATGGGGTGAATATATAATACACTTTTTTAGACGATGAAACAATAATTGCTGATCTTAATTCAAACGTTTCTGGAAGTTCAATAGAACGAAAATTAAAAACAGTTATTTTAAATGACACAGCTAACGTGTAGGGTTGGAATATTTCGAGCCGTGCCTGAATGCACCTCTGCCCAGCGTTTGCTCGCGCCAGAAAGACATTTAAACCGCCGCTGTGTCTCCGCCTCCTCAGAAAATTATAAATATAGGCAGCTCCTCGCTTCCTTTTCACTACAACCTTCAACAACCGATTCTTCAGTGTCGGAAAGAAGCAGGGTGAAAAATCCTACAATAATGGTGAGTACTGACGAACAAAACAATTATATAAATAATAAAACTACCGGTAATTAGATTTTTTGCCGTTGAAATCCCGTTTATGTGCCTAAATTGTGGTAGCTTTAGTCCAAACAGTTGGCGCAGTTTAAATCATAACGGTTGAAATTGGCCGTTAAAACGGAACTTTCATCGCTTTAAACTACAGTCAAAGATACTGTATCGACATCTGGGCATTTCTCTCTCTCCAGTTTAATAGGAATAAAAGCATACAGTATAAAACAGTATGCGAAAAACTGTTTTCCCATCTTTGTGGGTTTGGAAGACATAAGGCTGGGCATTACTGTAAGCCGGCGAGCTAGAAGAATGCATCAGATAACGACCTGTCCATGAACGTTACAGAAAGGCAGGGCTTTGCAGCAGGGAGGAGAGATGTTGCTCGTTTTGGGAGGGGCAGACAGGAACACGTGACTCGGCACAAAGTCACTAGGTCTGCAGCCGAATAGTCCAAAAATCAGCTCCTAAGTTCTAACCCTATCGTCTATTCCTGAAACGGTAAGGGATAGTGGATAGGAGAATTCAAAAAGGATTTAGGAGAAGAGACTGTGGTACTTTAGAGAATCCGACTGCACTTTCACTATCCGACGTGTTTATGATGCGCCAGCGGACGTCATGAATGTGCGTCTGCTGCTGTGGGGTAACTATGGAAACTACAGTTTTCTATACAGCGGACTACAACATGGATGTTTAATAAGAACGAGGGACTACTGTAAACTCATCTAGAGACTCTGCACCGTGCTCTGATGCTGTTGCTTTGCTTTATGAACGTGGACAACAGAGAAACATATTCTTCATGACCAAAGTTGAATTGAAATAAAAAAGGAAAGTGAAACTTATGCTCGTCACCCTCTCCCTCCGGTCCACATTAATACAAATGGTCCCAATACGTATGATTGAATGAAAATATCTTAAAATAAATACAAATGTATTTATTATAAACGTTGGTCCTTAACATCTATCACTGTGTATATCACCATTCAAACATCTTTTAAAAGTTGAACAAACCCCACACAGCTCAGTGAAATGTTGACTTTATTTGATCATTTCAGTAAAAACTAACGTTCATATTTCTCTTTTTGATTATAATACTGATGAACGTTCAAAACAAAGCACTTTGGCAACTTACCACATACGTTTTAAAATGCTTAATAAGCACCGTAACTTTCATGATATTATTTCTCCGTCATAATTGTTTGTTTCCGTGAACGGCCGACTGTTGAGTGATGGCAAATGCTGCGACTGCAAGGCATTGTGGGGCAGCATTTTCTCCTCTCCTTTCGGTGAGGGAGGTCCAGTGGTTCCTAAGCTAAAGGAGGTTATAAAGGAAGTTTGAAACCTCCTTTCTTATCATCTAGAGAATTCGAACGGCACTTATCATGGCTGCCACTGAGGGACTTCCGGGTCATTTCACTCTGTTAGGAAGGTTCCTAAGCTAAATGGACTATTCGACTGCAGCCCTGGGTTAGGGTTTATAACCTGTCAGCGCCCAAAACACCATTTAAAAGGGAATGATTTTTAGGGAAATATTGTCCAATAAATCGGCCATATTGTAATGTACCCCTCCCTCCCAACCTTTTTAAATGTATCCCTGTGACTGTATATCTAATAGTGTAGATAGTGTTGGTAATTGGTTAATTTAATTTGCGATAAATCACAATTTTTAAATTGAGTCCAGTTGTGTTTCATTTGTCAAATTGACACATGGAAACTGTTTGTATTAACATACGTTGTAGTACTTGTATAAGGAGGTCAGTGATTGCACTGTATAAACTGACATGGAATGTATCCGTTCAAATTCGAAAATGTAATCTGCTCAAAAGTAACCGTTTGTCTCTCCTCCACAGCGTGAGTGTATCTCTATGCATGTCGGCCAGGCCGGAGTCCAGATGGGCAATGCCTGCTGGGAGCTCTACTGCCTGGAGCACGGCATCCAGCCTGACGGTCAGATGCCGAGTGACAAGACCATCGGAGGAGGAGACGACTCCTTCAACACCTTCTTCAGCGAGACTGGAGCCGGCAAACACGTCCCCAGAGCCGTCTTTGTGGACCTGGAGCCCACTGTAATCGGTAAGGATACACATATTTGTATTTAAACGTGAAATAATATTTTTGAAGAAGACGGGTAGGACAGACGGATAAATAGATGCTTATTGAACCCAAATTGGGAAATTATTTTGTTGCCGCAGCAGTGTGTTCAGGCATTAAAATATATAAATAATAAAATAAAATCAATAAACAGCAAATATAATATCTACAGTAGAATATACGTGTATCTAAAATATTCTGGATTATTCTGGTTCAATACCCATGACTGTACCCGTGTTGTTCCTCAGATGAAGTCCGTAAAGGAACCTACCGCCAGCTCTTCCACCCCGAGCAGCTGATCACCGGTAAGGAGGACGCAGCCAACAACTACGCCCGCGGTCACTACACCGTCGGCAAGGAGATCATCGACCTGGTGCTTGACAGGACTCGCAAACTGGTGAGCTCTTCATCTCATTACATGTTGCAAGTGAAGCCTTTAAAATAAAAACATATTTCGATTGATGGCAAAACATTTAAAACCATTATCCCTTATTTCCAGGCTGACCAGTGCACAGGGCTCCAGGGTTTCCTGATCTTCCACTCCTTTGGAGGAGGAACCGGCTCTGGCTTCACCTCCTTGCTGATGGAGCGTCTCTCTGTCGACTACGGCAAGAAGTCCAAGCTTGAGTTTGCGGTTTACCCCGCCCCCCAGGTGTCCACCGCTGTGGTGGAGCCCTACAACTCCATCCTGACCACCCACACCACCCTGGAGCACTCCGACTGTGCCTTCATGGTGGACAATGAGGCCATCTACGACATCTGCCGCAGGAACCTGGACATCGAGCGCCCTACCTACACCAACCTCAACAGGCTGATTGGACAGATCGTCTCCTCCATCACCGCCTCCCTGCGCTTCGATGGTGCCTTGAATGTGGATCTGACTGAGTTCCAGACCAACTTGGTGCCTTACCCTCGTATCCACTTCCCTCTGGCCACTTACGCCCCAGTTATCTCCGCAGAGAAGGCCTACCACGAGCAGCTGTCGGTGGCTGACATCACCAACGCCTGTTTCGAGCCGGCCAACCAGTTGGTGAAATGCGACCCCCGCCACGGCAAGTACATGGCCTGCTGCCTCCTGTACCGTGGTGATGTGGTGCCCAAAGATGTCAACTCTGCCATCGCCACCATCAAAACCAAGCGCAGCATCCAGTTTGTGGACTGGTGTCCCACTGGCTTCAAGGTGGGCATAAACTACCAGCCCCCTACCGTGGTTCCTGGAGGAGACCTGGCCAAGGTGCAGAGGGCCGTGTGCATGCTGAGCAACACCACCGCCATCGCAGAGGCCTGGGCTCGCCTGGACCACAAGTTCGACCTGATGTACGCCAAGAGGGCCTTCGTCCACTGGTACGTTGGAGAGGGGATGGAGGAGGGAGAGTTCTCTGAGGCCAGAGAGGATATGGCTGCCCTGGAGAAGGATTATGAGGAGGTGGGCACCGACAGCGTGGGGGACGAAGGAGAAGAAGGGGAGGAGTACTAAGCCACTGAAACATCTGTGGTGAAGACTCTGACCCCTCCATTGTCCAACTTCAGCTCCTTTCTAAACAACAACAACACACACACACACACACACACACACACACACACACACACACACACACACACACACACACACACACACACACACACACACACACACACACACACACACACACACACACACACACACACACACATTGATGGCATGAGACAGTTATGTTTTGGCCAGGTTAAAAAAAAATCTCCCCAGGGAGCTGTTGCATCTCGGGACTTTTAAAAAAAAAAAGTTCATCTTTATTATTTTATTTTGAGTCATTCCAAATGTTACGGCTTTGTAAACAATCCCAATAAAGTTCACTTGGGTTCCGACATGACCTCTGACTCTGTCTTCAATGAATGACTTTACATGAAGGTGAATGTAAATTCCAACTCTTATTGAAAAGGTAAAAGTACATTTAAAAAATATATAGACACTTCAAAGAAAATGCATCAGTATTGCGTGTGTATTAGTGCCGCAGTTAAAGGTCGAGTAGCTTTAGAGGATTTAAACTTGTTAAACACAAAATCTTTCAAATAAAGTAAAGGCGTCAACATTACATTAAAAAAAAAACCTCAAGTTATTAGTAAAAGTAAATATTTACATCAAAATCTACTGCAAGTACCAAAGGAAAGGTACTCATTAAGCACAAGAGCCCCGTTCAGAAACCTATATATTAAATTACTGGATTATGATTCACTGATTTGTCTTTCACTGCTAGCGAGGTGGAAATAATTGTAATTACTCTATATACTTCTGCTTTATTGAAACCAATACATGTCGGTTTATTTGATTTATACTTTGTTAACAAATCTAAATCTGAAAAGTAACCTTTAATATAGCGTTAAATTGAAATACTATAATAAAATACTGGTGTGGGCACGAGATAAGTTTGTGCACAGATGGAAGGCTGACAGGCAGGTAGGCCCATATATATATATCAAGTGTGTTGTGAGTTGTGTGTTGGGGAAATGTATTCCATCGCACCTCAGCCTGTGATTCTGCTGAGACTGCTTCCCTCTGATAGTCTTTTATTGCCACGCCAGCAAAACACTCACTGGCAGGGAAGCTTGGCCTGTGTGTGTGTGTGTGTGTGTGTGTGTGTTGCATCACTGTATGATCACTGACATGTGCAAACAGTTTTGTGTGTGTAGAGCAGCCATAGTTCATTTCCCCTGTGCTTGTGGAGGTTGTTTTGTGCAGGTGTGTGAGCTCTGCAGGTGTGTGTGAGGCGACACAGGGGGGGGCATTTGTTCTGAAAAGTAGGCCTCCTGTGTTCCTGCGTTTACAGCTTTTTCTTTATTCACATGTACATAACAAGATCTATCACAAGGTTAGGGCTTTTTATGTAGATCATATATTTTGTCTTGTACTGAATCACATCTGTTCCTTTGTTTCTTGTCTTAATATGTATACTTGTTGATGTACAAATGGAGCAGAGGCCTGTACTACGAAGCTGGTTCAACCTAACCTGGATATGTTTGAGTTAGCCGGTTGGCCTAATCCAAAACATACGTGCTCTCGCTAAACTGTAGGCTACTACGACGTGGGTTATCAAGTGGATCGCTCAAGCCAGCCGTGTCCTATGTAGTTAGGTGCGCGTTCACATGAAAGGGGTGGTGTTTGGAGCATTCAACCAATCACAAACATGGAGAAGCGTACTGACAGTGCAGCGCGTCATACTTCCTGAATGAAAAGTGAACTTTAAAGGGGACATATCATGCTATATTTGAACAATATATTGTAGGGCCATACCTATATAAATTCTATAAATATAGTTGTTTTTTTAATATACCAGACAGATCCTGCATTTTAGCCATACCTCATTTCGCTCTATTTGCTCTTTCCAGCGCTGTTTTTGCAGGGGGCTGATTCTGTGAGCTGCAGCTGACCACGCCCCCCTGCAGGAGAGGGGAGCGTGCTCTGAGATCAGCTGCTGGGCTGTCAGAAGAGGGGGAGAAAAAGAGATCTCCGTCCTCCATGTTTTATTCTTATAGAAGTAAGAAGAGAAGTAATGGGGCAGAAACCCTCCTTTTTACGCAGCGGTCCAGACATAGACATCAAACGGCCAGTAGCGTGGCGTGGGAAAAAAATTAGGGGAAGCCAATAATACGTCCTTTCTTTTGGGTCGGGGGGGTGTGGTGGTCAATATAATAACGTAACCTTACCAGATGAGTGATTACAGCACCAGGTATCATTTTACACACATTTGTATCATACAGATGCAGGACTTACACACGCCTATTATCTAACCGACAGGACCGCACGCACTCTCCAGCCCAAACTCTAATAAGCATTCATTCACAAACTAAATCAGGAGACCTTTCACGTTTTACGTCCTCTGTACACAGCTCCAGTTTGGGCATCGGCCTGTCATCAGATTGGATTTGTTGTTGCTGCTGTAGCGGAAGTTTAGTCCAATTATTTTTGAGTAAATACTCTAAATCTTCACCCTCCATAATTGCACTTGCTTTAGTTGCTTGCTACTTTCTAACGGTGGTGAGAGTGGTGCAGGGACGCTATCTATCTTCTATCGATTCGATTTATGATTCGAAAATTATATTATATTATATTATAAAAGTAGGGTAGACATGTGGATATTACTGAACACAACGTGCATTTATCTAACAGGTTCGTTTTCCACTGACCTTATTTCGAGCTATTTTCTAGTGATGGCAGTTTGACACTGAAGCTTCGAACGGAGCTTCAACCCTGGACTTCCTATTCCATAGAAGCAGTGCTTCGAAGCTTACTTCAAATCACGTGACATGTGACGTCCGAAGCATCAACTGCTTCATTTCCTGAATGAATCACTTGACTGGTTCGCGGTCCATTCACGCGATTCAATGCACTACCTCGTCTCGATTCTGACAGGTGACAGGTTGAAACAGTTTCAAATTTGAGCGCTTCAACACTTTATGACCGCTCTAAACAATGCGCAATGTGTGGGTTGTTGTCGTAGTTTGCGTTGTTGCTGTTGAGTTGTTGTTGGTATTGCATTTGAATTGTAGTATAATTATAGAGCAAGCCAGGAAGAAGCCAGGTCGTTCTGGCTCGGGAAACACTTCGAAATGTGGAGAAGTTGTGAACAAAAAGACAATTATCAGTAATATAAAAACAGTTCAATATTTCAAGGAATAGATAGCCCAGTGGATAGAGCCGGCGGCCCGAATGCGGCGATGTTCTCCGCGCAGCTGGTTCAAAGCCCGGAATGGATGTATTTTAATCATTGCTTTTCAACTTTAATAACTGATAAAAGGCCCTCTCCTCCCAAAAAAATGTCCAGCACTCTCTAGTCTCTTCTCAATAACCAAATACACACAATTATCAATCTTTAATTGCAAATAGAACATGATATTCAGTCTTATGGCGCATTTCCACTGCAGCGGGTAGCCCCGTTTAAGCGTCCTTAACCGTCCTCAAGCGGCCAGGCCAGTTTTTGGTGGCCTTTCCATATAGCCTAGTACCGGCTAGCGGGTAATTTTTCCCTCTTTTTCCGGCCCCATAAAATCGTGGTTCTATCAGGCCAGGGCTGAACTAGTGACGTCAACACTCTCGACTGCTGATTGGTCAGAGAGAATCCTCACAAGATCGATTTATGAATATAGTTTTGCTGTGTTTTACACTTTAGTATTTATGTCTATAGTTAGCTTTGATATTCGCTTAATTTATTAGAAAGATTTTCTTTTCATGATCTGATATTTCCTCAAATGTTCTTATTATGGGGCAGTACTTACTGGTGCTTGAAATTCAAATATGTACTTTCCTTCTTGCTGTGATAACAAGCCACACACCAAGAAACAAGTAAACGATCGCTTCCACATCTTCCATTGTTGTGTGTGTTTTGTGAGTTGTGTCGCATTGAAGATGACGCCACTGCAGTTTTAGCCAGCGTCGCTCCGCCCAAAAAGCCCGCCAAAAAGCCGATCGCCCCGTCTACACTGCGTTCCTACCCCAGGTCCTAAACTGTAATGGAAATGCACCACGGCCTCGGACGGCCAGCGAGGCAGCCCGAGGCCTGAGCAAGGACGCTTAGGGACGCTTAAACGGGGCTACCCCGCTGCAGTGGAAATGCGCCATTAGTGTGTGTGTGCATCGAATATTTTTCAAGGCAAAGATACGTTAAACCCACTGCAGCCTTGCACTTCGCCAGGAGAGGTCGCTGTAACTGAAGCTTCGAGAAATGAACCTATTTCCGACACAATTGTCCAAGTGGTTCGATGCTTCATTCAAAGCTTCATTTTGCCATCACTACTATTTTCCAAAATCCTATGGAGAAATCCCATTGCTTTCTGTCGAGGGATCCCGAGCGCAGCTTACTTCCGGGTTTTAGGACGCGTCACTGCACCACTAAATTGGATTGTGAGGCAAGGGAAGCCAGCCGCCTCTGGCTTCCCTTGGCATGGCCCTGACTAATCACAGGTTGGCAGGGGCATCACGTGAGCCTCATCTGATTGGTCAATCTCTCCATTTTTTTTCACCAAGGGAAGCCAATTTCGGCTGGCCTCCTCTTGCAGCAGAGAGTGCAATCTACTGTTTCACCATAACCATCGCAAGATCTCCAATGTTTGAGGGGAAGGAAAACTGCAAAAGCCTGGCTCTTGACAGTACTGGTAATCACTTGCTTTTTTTTTTATTAATAAAGGAACATTTTTGTGCATAGTATTATATTGTTTGGTGACTTTACATTCAACTTTCAAATTGATTGACAATTTAATTAAAATAACAATAAAATCCAAGATTTTATGTAGCAGGGATTCTTTACTTATTTATCAATATACATAACACCCATAACATCATACCGTTTCGTACCGTATCGTTTTCATACCATATTGTATCGTATCGCAAGGCATGCTTTTTTTAGTCTCCAAGGATCAATTCAGCTTTCACTCTGCTGTTGTATAGTTAAAGTTCAAAGACATTCATGCACAAACAGGACCTGCTTTGCTTCTTTTTGCATTATCTAATGTATTTTAATCTGAAGTATGCTGCATCCTCGAAGGAGCTTTAGACTCAAGATTTTCCTATGACTATTGTGCATATGACAAATAAATCCTTTGTGGATCCTTTTGAATGCAGCTGTGCAGCTCATCCATCTGTTCTGTCACTGATCCCCCCCACCCCCCCTCCAGCATGCAGTAAACCCATAGACTAGTAAACCCCCCCTCTCCAGCATGCAGTACCCGCCTCCTCCAGCAGGTGGCGCCTGTAATCTGGGTGAAAGGCGAAGAGAATCCACTGCTGACAGAAGGAGGCCAGAGCAGAATAATTGATCATGTTCAAATACAGCAGCTCCTGTTCCTGTGAGATCTCACACACATTTGTATTCCACCCC